GGACCAGCATGTGGGGTGGGGGTGACGGGGCTCCCGTGAGCAACAGACTTCACTGTGGGTACCCAGCTACCCACTGGCAGAGGGGGCTGGTGGGAGGAAGGGGGCTCTGGGCGGAGGGCCAGCACTGGCCAAGGCCTGGGGCCCGCGAGCGCCAAGCGGCCAAAGGTGGACAGGCCCCCCCGGGCACCTGCGCTGGCCAGGGACATCCTCCGGTACTTCTCCTTGTTTGGGGCACCCTCGTTGGCACCCGCGGTCGCGATGGCAAAGGCAGAGGCCGCCGACAGGGCACTTCGGTTGTTGTCCAGGTCGCGGCAGGGGGTCCTGACGACCCCGTTGTTGTAGGAGAAGAGCAGGAACTCTGGAGGGAAGACGCCAGCCCTCAGCCCTTCCCGGCCCTGCCTGACTGAGACAGCCAGGGCCCAGGATGGGGTCAGACGGTGCGGCTGCTGGGGCCTGCCCCCCGTCCTGCCTCCCCACTGCTTCTCCACAAAGTCCCCAACCGCCCCTCCCTTCTCTGCTGTTCGGACTCCGTCGCCTTGTGGGCACAGCCGGCCCCAGGGCAGCAGTGAGCTTTCTTGCCCTTGTCCATTTGGGATGAACGGGTGGCCTGTCCGGTGTCTGGCACTGGTAACTCATGCTGACGGCTCACTGGCACGAGAGCACGGAGAGCCCTGCACACGGCGTCCTCCCCTTACGAGCTGTGTGGCCTCGGGTAAGTCACGTAACCTCTCTGAGTCTCAGTAGTCGCTGGGATAGTAACACCGGCTTCAGCGGGTGGGAGTGCAGATGAAAGGAGATAACACAAGTGCTGAGAGTGTGTGAGAAGCTCTACGTACGCCGTGGAATATCAAGGCCATTAGTGATAACTCCTTAGTAGTAATGGGGACCTTGTAAGTCCGGAGAGCAATCCGTGCTCAGCACAAAGTGACAGCACTTGAGCTGCGAGGAGCAAATGCTGTCCTTGAAAACCTCAAAGCTGATTTCTGACATCGGCTCTGGGTGAGGTCGGCTTCGCGCGTCTGAGAGGCTGTGGCACGTCCTTCGTGCGTCCAGGCAGTGTCTCTGCAGCTAAGTGACCTGTTACCGGGTCTCTTCAGCAGGTGAGCGCTCGCCTCACCCTCGGCATCTCAGAGCGGTTTTGTGGGAACCGGAGACCCAGGCTCCTCGAGGCCCCTTCAGGACACGAGCCTGAGACTCGATGACCCATCAGTCTTTTCCCTCGATTGAGAAATGGGAACAACCCGCCTACTCAGCAAGGCCACCGGGTGGCTGAAGGGCTGCGTGGAGCCTGACACGGATCAGGAGCCCACAAAGCACCTCTGAACCCGAATGTCCCCTGGGGACCCGCCTGTGTTGGATGGGCTGTGAATCTTGTCTGAGGCTGGGCGTGACGTGGCCGAGGGAAGACCAGGGCCCACCCAGCTGGTGTTGCGGCCCCGCAGTCACCTGGGGTCCTGAGGCGCGAGACGGCCCCTGCACTGTGGCCACCCTAACGGAAGGATGACGCCGGCTTGCCCTCTCTCAGCTTGCCCGCTGCCCTCCCCCTGCCTGGGCCTCACCGTCCTCTGGGCTCTCTCTGCGGTTTCGGATTGGGGCGTGGTACCTGAGGAATTTTTGCTCTTGATGGATTTTGGTGTTGTTGGCGACTTAGTTGGTGACGGCTCAGTATCACCGTCATCACTCGGGTTTTCATCAGTATCTGACTCTTCCCTCATGGAGACGTCTGAGCCTGGGGAAAGAAGGAGGGAATTTTACATTCCTGAAAATGGCCATTGATTTTTAAGTTCGGGGCTATCATTTATCGATGCAGAACAGACTATGTCTGGGTTATACCTGGGGAACAGTTTACCAGCATTAGCTGGCCCTGTCAGCCCTGTCATGTGCCAGTGGGCGCTGTGAGTCACCAAGAAAGCTTTACTCTACCTGGGCTTTTCGCACCTTGATGGGCACACCTGGGCGTCCCGTCAAAACGCAGTCTGATTCAGAGGTCAGGGGTGGGACCCTTCGTAACAGGCCCCCAGGTGATGCTCACCTGGCTGGGCCATGGACCACACTTTGGAAGGCAGCTATGCTCACCACTATACCACCAACGCCGTACATGGACCACACTTTGAGTACCGAGGTCCCCCTGCGTTGTGTGTATGTGTGTGTGTGTGCGTGCACCTTAGGGTGACCACTGCCCTGTCTGCCCAGGAAAGCCGTGCTCTGCACCTGCCGTCCCATGGCCCTGGTCACTAGCACAGTGTCCTGGTTTGGGCACTAACGTATAGTCGCCCCAGTCCTGAGACACACTTTGGGGAAAGCTGATGGATTTGATGAAAGGTTCCGCGCTGGCGTGGTGAGATCATCTCTGGTCCTCGGTTTCCCCAACTAGAAAGTGAGTGGAGTCGCCCTTGACCTTTTTGAGAATGCAAAGGAAATGACAGCTGGTCCCTTGAGGAAAGAATGGCCCATATCTGTGCGTGCACACACACAATTTGCTGCACAATCAGCCAGACAAACCACCCAAACAAATGTCCTTCTCGAGCGGTCAGGAGGGCTCCAGAGGGGGGTGGCCCCAGCGCCGTCTGCAGCCACCGCCCCGCCCGGGGTTCCAGGTGTGCAGCACTCCCCGCTGCTTTTCCTATACCCTCAGTCTGGCCCACTCTGTCCTCTTTATCGACTGTCCTCCCCTCCACCTCCATCCAGTGGCTACTCCAGGAAGCCTCCTCTGACTCTCCTGACGCTGTCCCCACCCTCCTCCACGCCCGTCGAGCGTCCCTCTAGCACAGCACATGGCAGGCGTCCACGTTTCCCAGTCTGGTCCCGCTCCCCAGCCTGCCTGACTCTGGGAGGCGGGAGCTAGGACTGATTATGATGGACCTGGCCTGGGACATGTCCACTGCGGAGATGGACAGCCCCAGGGATGCGGGAGGAAGCTGTCGCCAGGGCCCTGGGCATCTCTGCAGCCGGGGCTCCCACACGGCCGCCTGTCCACTCTTCCCAGACGGCATGGCCGCCGCGGCCTGGCCGGGATCCCCAAGGCTCCCCTCCTGCCCCGTGGGGGCCCACCAGCCGCGCCCACTCACCCTGCTTGCTGGGGGCCGAGGGGTCTTCCGGCTTCTCGGCGGTCACGTCACCCTCGTCTGCAATCTTGTTGGCAAAGCCGCCGGACACGTAGAGCTTGCTGGTGTCCAGCGTGGCCTTGCCGAAGGGCGACATGGCCGAGTACATGCTGGCGTAGCCGTTGGAGCTGCAGCCCAGGGCGGCCAGGTCCAGGGCCTTGCCGCCCGTGATGATGGGGATGTTCAGGGAGAGCTTCCGCCGGCGGCTGGGCGAGGACGTCTTGGTGATGGACAGCGGCGGGGGCGAGGAGAACTTGCGGGTGGCACGTGGGGACTTTGGGGGGTCACCGTACAGGAGCTTGTTGTTCTGGCCACTGGCGAACAAGAGCTCCAGCGACCTGTGGGGAGGGCGGGATGTGAAAAGGAAGGGTCAGCGGCCTGGGTGTCCATCTCTGGTTGGAGCCAGGGAGGCTCTGCCTGCTGGGAAAGGAAGGACGGCCTGCTGGGCCCCCGGGAAGGATCTGGACTGGTTTCCAGGCAGAGTGGCAGGATGTGTGCCCCCTGAGGCTTGAGCAGGTGGACAGTGAGCTCTGGTACTGCAGGCCGGGGATTGGGGGGACGGAGTCGAATTTGGGGGTGTGGGCTCTGGCAGCAGAGGTGTGGGCGGGAGGGCGGCTCGCTCCAGCCTCCAGGCCCCCTGGGCCCTCCCCATGTCTTGGGCTCGAATTTGGGACCCGCTTGGCCGCCCCTTGGCCCTGGGGAGGTGGTGTGATTCAGGAGCTCTGCTCCACGCAGCCCTAGAGCCAGGCTCTGGCCCCACGTCTCGCCTGGGGGCAGAGGAGCACGGGGTCCACCACTGTCACCCTGAGTCAGACAGGCGGGCACAATGGGCTCAATGAGACCACGGCCCTGGGTTCAAGTCCCCAGTGAGCCACAGACTTCTGGGGGCCCTGGGGCAATCTTCTTGGCCTTTCTGGGCCCCAGGGGGCTAAGGTGGCCTGCCCTGCACGCGCGGAAACACGCCAGGGTACCCACAGTGGTCCCTCATTTTAGAGCAGGACGCGGCCCAGCAGAGGAGGGGTGAGGATCAGTGTGTGTCTCCCTCCATCCCTTCCTTTCTTCATCCGGGAGGGTGGGGAAGCTCTGTCCCTTGGAGCTTCCAGGAGGGGCTGAGGGGACCGCGCAGTGCGCACCCCGAGACCCTGGAGCCTGCAGCCCTGCCGGTTCTGGGCCCGGTTCTTGGCCGGCTGTTTCCCAGGGCGCCTGGGCGGGGTGTGTGTGTGTGTCAGCCGGCCGCGCCCTGCCCACCTGGCGGGGATGGCACTGATGGGCTTCCTGTAGATGGCGATGAGCTTGTCCAGGACCACGACGGCCGTGGTGAAGACGCGGTAGGAGTGCAGGAAGGTGTTGAGGAAGTCGATGCTCAGGAAGCGCAGGTCGGTGAGCCGCTCCAGCAGCCGCCCCACGCTGGCGTAGCGGATCTGCAGTACTTTGCAGGAGTTCATGGTCTTGCTGAAGCGGATGTCCACGTCGTCGCAGTACAGGGACGCGTCGGACCTGCGGGGTGGGGGAGGGCGGCGTGCTCTGAGCCCCTGTGGCGGGCCGGACAGACGGACCCCTTGGCTTATTATGGGAACAAGGACGGCTTTGGGAGGGGGGGCTCCGAGGAAGGGCAGGCTGTGACCCCCTTTTCCCAGCAGGATACCTAAAACCCGCCGTTGTGAAATTCCCGGATAAAAGAGAACAAACTTAAAAATGACGTGCGGCCGACTTCACAGGACACACAGACATCTGTTCGCACAGACACATGGGCACGAATGTGCACGGCTGCGCCATTCAGATGGCTAAACCGTGGAAAGCACCCACCCCAGTGTCCACTAATGGATGAGAGGACCAGCAGAACGTGGGCTGGACACACGCTGCACCGGGAATGCACTGTGCTCGGCCGGGGAAGCCATCACAGAGGGCACATGTGGTCCCATCCATGGGTGTCACCCGGACCAGACAGTCCCCGGGTGGCCGCCAGGGGCTGGGGGAGGAGCGGGTGGGGCTGAGTGCTGATAGGTGTGGGGTTCCTTTTGCGGGTGACAGAAGTACTCTGGAACTGGGTAGTGGTAAGGGTTGCACAACACAGTGAATATGCCAAAATCCACCCGTGGATGGAGGCCAGGGAGCCCGTGGCCCCCCAAGTGGGACAGAAAGGAGGGCGAGCAAGGCCGTTGGGGGGCAGATGCCGGAGGAGAGCAGCGGTCCTGCTGAGGGGGCTCACAGGGTGTATCAGAAGGACGCCAACCCCCGTCCCCCGGGGTTGCTCAGTGTCCCTAGAAACCTGCGTTTTTTAAAAAGTGTCCTCATTTTGTAATTAGGAAAAGAAAAATACTTATTTTAAAAGGGGGCATACATTTTCATCCCTGTGTTATAGTTTAAGTAGCCTAATCCAAAAATCCATGAAGCAACAGCCAACATCCAAATAGACGTGAACTCAAAACAAACACCCAAAAGATGTCGGCACCCAGCCCCCTCAACCCCCAGCATTGGCTGGTCCTGTGCCCCTGCTGTCACTGTCACTTGACCAGTGGCCGGGTCCAGACGAGGTGAAGGGCACTTACTTGATCATCTGTGGCACTGTGACCTTGGAATTTTCCTCAAAGGCGTTCATCATGAGCCCATTACACCGGATGTTATCCACACACTGGAATCAGAGAGAGGACCGGGTGTCAGGGCCTCGGTCTCCATTCTGGTCCTCGGGCGTCGCAGGGTCTCTGCCAGGCGGGAGGGCCATGTGCCCCGCCAGACACAGGGTGCTCAGGCCTCAAGGTCATGGGCAAGGTCAACGCAGAGCGCCCCTGGGACGTCGGTTGAAAGTCAAGCTCCCACTCGGTGACCTTTTGGGGGCTTACCTGACCTCCCTGAGCCTGTTTCTCTACCTGCAAAATGGGGGTAGTGACTCCTACCTGATTGGGTTGTTCGCAAAATATGAGCTACTGACCCTGACCACTCCATTGCTGACCTCTGAGGTCCAGTGTCAAGGACAAGGTCAGACCCATGGTGGTCTGGGATCACTTCCTTGGGAGGCCAGCCCAGCAGGGCCCCCGTGCCCCCTGCCCACAGGGCTGTCCTGCAGCCTGTCCTCTGGCCACCATGGTGCCAACGCGCTTTAACAGGGGTGCAATGGCTTCCCCTGTTAAAACTCCTGCTGGCCAGGGGCACAGATGACGGTACCTTGTGCTCAGCCTCTGAAAAGATTCCCGACACAAAGTTTGCTTTGAACGAAAAGTTCAAAAAGCCTGGCCCACAGCTCTGAGCTTCCCGGAGGCATCAGAGTGTCTGGGGAAGTGTCGGAGGGCCGGACCCCCACTGGCATCAGCCACGTGGCTCCACGGGGGGCAGAGGCCTGGAGGACACTCTCCAGATGAGTGGCCCTGAGCCTTTGACGGCCACACTCACTGGGCACATGAGAGAGGCTTTCCAGGTTTCTCCTGGGCATGCTTGGTGCTTTGAACATATGTCCTGAGACTCAGAGAGAGCACACGCCTGCTACACTGCATCCCCGTCTGCCTTGGGCAGGTGGGCTAGAAGGAGGTGAACGGGCAGTCAGGGCAACCCAGAAGTGGGGTGTAGAAACGAGGAACAGGGGGCGGGGAGGGCACCCTTAAATAGAGCTAAGGCTGCCCCCCAGTTCTCCATAAACACAGCTTCCCAGGCCCCCTGCCCCTGAATGGGGGAGCTCTCCAGCCTGTTTGTCCTTTCTCCCACTGTCGGCAGCTGTGAAGGGTCCTCTGCTGCTGGGACGGGCTGCGTGACCCCCTGCAGGCCCTGGGGGCCAAGGGAAAGGCCTGTCCTGAAGCCTGTGGGCTCACAGCCTCTCTCCAGACTCAGATCTCTGCCCTGGTCCTGCCCACGGTCCCCCGGGGCTGCTGGCTGGTGTGCTCTCTGCAGCGCTCCTAGTGGGCGACTGGCCTGAACACGTGCGCAGGCAGAGATGGAGGCTAGACCCGTGGACACAGCTGTCGCTGGGCTCTGCGGGGCCCTAGCTGTCCCTCTTGAAGCTCTGCTATATCCCACATCCGTGGGTCGTGGTGTTCAGACTTTTCTGTGCACTGTAATGGCTGGGGTGGGAGGGCGTGTGCTGAAATGCAGATTCCCAGGCCCCTTGCTAGAGATTTGCATCTGGTGGGGGTGGGGCGTGGGGGGGGCACTGCGGGAATCTGGAATTTTAAGAATCACCACAGCGGATGACCCAGGTGCAAGGGGTTCCCAGATCCCACTTTGTGAGTGGCCCAGGGGACTCTACCACGTTAACGAGATGGCTGAGCTCAGCCTCGGTGGGGACCATGCCTGGAGGACACTCTGTGGGGGCTGTGCCCTTTCTGTCGGAACCCTGCAGCAGCCCCCAGGCCCCCAACCAGCTTAGATACGAAGGGACCACAGGCTTGGAGGAACAGGTGCGCTGCTCACCTGGCTGATGTCACTGGTCCACGCTGCCTTCTCCTGCCTGGATGAGGCCACAAGGATGACTGTGAAGGGCGGGGCATCCTTCGGCTCCACCCCGATCTTAAAATCCAGGCGGTCCGTGTCCTGGCCGGGCCCTTTGGCTTCCAGTTACAAAATATGGAGTTAGCAGAATGAGCGAGGGCCCTTTTCGAGCTGGAAACTCTTGCAATGGTCCACCCACTGGGGCGGGCAGGAGGCCACCGCTTACTTTCAGAACATCTCTCTTTTTCCTAAGGTCCCCACTTCAAAGATGGGAGAACCGAGGCCCGGAGCACAGAAGCAGCTGACAAGCACGCGGGGACAGTGGAGGGACCATAAGATTCTCCAGCCCAGGAGAGGGGCCGCCACCCGTCAGCGTCTCCCCTCCTTCCCTCCCCACGGACACCACACCTGGGCCCAGACTTTCGGGGTGAGTGAGCGTGTGTGTACCTGTGTGAGCAGCTTCCACACCTACCTTCTTCCTCCGTGCTTTCTGGGTCCTCCAGCAAGGTGCAGTCTATGAGGGACACGACTCCATTCTGAAAAAGAACAGGGGGACGTGTGCCGGTTTAGGAGTCCCAGGAATTCGGGGCTGGGGTGGGGCTTTGACAATAAGCATGAACGCAGACTCTGTGTGTGTGTGTGTGTGTGTGTGTGTGTGTGTGTGTGTGTGTGTGTGTTTTGTTTTTCAAGTTGAGGGACTTGAATCATCATGTAAGAAGCCCAATGAATGAAGGGGACCACACAGGATTGTCTCCGAGTGGCCTTCCCGAATGAGGTTCGCGGTCGGCTGGGGTGGGGTGCGGGGGCTGCCCTCTTCCTGCCCCTCCAACAGCAGCTCCCAGGCCACCTAATCCACAGCAGCTTGACCTCGCCGCGCTGGGCCAAACCCCTCATGCTACCAACAGGGAAATAGGCCCGTTTTACAGACCTGTCACAGGTATTGTTATTCCAATTATACAGACGAAGAAACGACACAGGGAGTTAAGTGTCTCGCCCAAGGGCACCTGGCAGGTGTGGGGGCAGCCTGAGGGCCTCAGGGCCCTGATCCCAGCCCACGGTCATCCCTGCTTTTCCATCTTTAGGACTAGCTGGGAAAATGCCTCCCATCCCTGAGTGTATGCGCCTTGCTGGGTCCCTGGCGGCGGCAGTGGGACATCAGTGACCGATGGCGGGCTCCTCCTGCCTTCCCCTCAGGTGTCCCTGGACTTCGTGATCTGCTTGTCCTCGGTGAGAATAAAGCAGTGACAGTGCGCAGGCTGGGAGACCGCGGCCTCCTGCTGGCTCTCGTCTCGGTCGCTGGTGCTGGGGGAAGCCCGCTGCTGTGCCATGAGGACAGATCCACGACCCAGGAGCCGAGAAGGATCCCCGGTCGCAGTCTCGCCTGCAGGTGACACAACTCAGTGCCATCCTGTCTGCAGCCGCCTCAGTGGGTCCAGGCCACCAGGCTTCTGATTTCCTGACCCACAGAAACAGAGGCAGTAAACGTTTGTTTTAAGCCGCTATGTTTGGGAATACTTTGCTACACAGCGACAGGTAAGTAACATGGTAACTGATGACGGACGATAGGCTGATCTCTATTTGAAAACGTTTACAGGGCAAGCTGCCCCCCCGGGAGGCCGAGGGGACGGAAGGAAGCATCCGAGGGGCCCCAGAGACCCCGCTTCTGCTTCTCTTTTTGCTCCGTGGTGGCCATGGGTGACCCCCAGGCCTCCTGGGCCTTGACGGCCCAGCGATGTCACCGGGCCCGATAACCTGGAGAGCCCCATCGAGCCCTGACGTTTTCTTACTGGTTGTTTGAAATCTTGTGGGTTTGTGGTGCGCTCCCTTGGGAAGGGACTTCCGGCATTCTATTTCCAACCGCGGAATTTAAAGAGAAGTGGTTTGAATTCTAGCTTAGGGTTTAAGAGCACAGAGTCTGGCTCTAACCCCAGCTCTGCCACTTGCTGGCTTCCAGGTGTCTCAGTTCCTTTATCCACAGAATGGAGAAGGTGACGGTCTCCGCCTCGGTGGGTTGTCGTAGGAATTAAATCCATGTGAAGTGTTTGGTTTGGTGCCTGCTGCTGTTACTGTCACTTCGCTGGGCTGCTGCCTTGCACGCTCCCTCGCTGGGTCCTCACAGCCCTCCCCCGAGCAGGCGCTCGCATCCCGTGTGGCAGATACGTAAACCGAGGTGCAGTGAGGTCGTGCCCCTGACTGAGGTCGTCCACTGGTAAGTGGCCGGAGTCTGAGTGGCATTCCCGTGTTCCTTCCCAGTGTGCTGAGGCTGACAGCTCAGTCTCCACCCGAAACTCAAATTAGGCAAAATGCACAACCATGACAACACGCACTTCTAGGCTTTCAGAGCAAGAGGCTGCCCCACGGTCCCCGGCGTGGACGAGCTCTTCACAGCAGCGGCCACAGGGCTGATGGCCAGGGAAGCGTTCCTTGACACACAACGTGTCTGGAACTAGAGTCCTCGATGTTTGTAAACCAGTGTCCCCGTGTGCAGCCCAGCAGCTAATGTGCCGACATGTGGGCACGAGCAGCGTGCTCCCCGAGGCTGCCCTCTATCTAGGAGCCAGCACACGAGGTCTGGGGGGATGGCTTCCTGAGGCCGTGGCCTCGTTAGGGCACCTCTGGCCTGTCCAGGCCACCGTGTGCTCCGATTTGAAATCTGCAGAAGCACATTTCCAGTCATCACAGGCTTCCTGCTGTGCCGAGTGGGTCTCCGTGCACCTGCCTGCCCCTGTGAGGACAGCCACCCCTGTTTACAGATGTGACTGTAACCCTCTCCTAGGGTCACACGCATGACAGGCGGGGCTGAGAGCAGTGGACAAGCGTGTGCTGTGCCTGAGATCCTCCCTGGGGCAAGGGTCTCAACAGGTGCCGTTTCACAGGCTGGGAAGGACAGGAGGGAGGACTGCCTGGAGGAAGAGGCTGTGCACGGGAGTGGGGTCGACGAGGATGCAGGAGGGGCCTCGAGGTGCTTACTCCCCCCGCCTGTAGGGACGGGCCAGGTAGCCGAGTGTGTGGGGTCTCCTGTAGGGCTGTGAGGGGTTGCGGACCTGCCCTGTGTGGGCACCCAGCAGCCTGCCAGCATCGCCTGGCCCTGGTCAGGGCCCCCTGCGTGGAGGGAGTACTGAGAGGGCGCTGGGAGGGGCCCGTCTGCGCTCCTTTAGTCAGAGATGAGAGAGAGAGGCCATGGGTGCTGCTGTGGTCCTCAGCCAGGTGCCATCTGTGCCCTGTGTCCCCCCATGCGTGCACACGCGCAGGCCTCTTAGCAGCTTGTCGAGCTCCCGGACTCCTCTGCCCCTGCACCCAGCCGGAGGGGAGCCTCTGGGGTCTTGATACTCACCTTCCCATCTCCGCGAGCGCTCGGCAGACCCCAGCCATTCTAAGCAAAGTTAGGCTCGCGCGTGGCTGTGTCCCTGCCACCCGTGCCCACGTGGGGTCAGGGCAGGGCCTGCCTGGCCCCCGGCACCCCAGCCCGGCCCCTCCCCGCGGCCCCACCTTGGTCAGGTGGAGCTTCCCGCCAGAGCCTCTGGTGCAGATGATGAGGTGCTTGGAGAACAGGAAGCATTGCCGCTCGCCCTCTTTCTTCAGGGACAGAGACCCCAGGCGCCCCCTGGTGATCTTGCCCTTTTCGGACATGGGCACCTGGATGAGGGAGCCTGTGGGCGGAGAGAGACCCTGACTGACCCACCTGCAGGGTGAACCTCCGGCCTGGGCGGCGCTGAGGTTGGCTGTGGGGCGGTGTGGCTCTTCGTCCCCAGTAGCAAACCTGCACCCAGGACACGCCCTCCAGCCCCCCTTCAGGGCCAGGTGTCAGGAGCTGGGGTGGGGACTGGCAGGAAGTGAGGGGGGAGCCCTGTGGTGAGAATGCAGGCTGGGGGTCTGAGCCAGGCAGGGGCTAGCGAGTGGGGGGCTGGCTGTGGCCCAGGGGGCTGAGCAGGAGACTAGGGCCCCTGCTCCATATGCAGCCCTGGGTGGCGGACGTCCCCTGTCAGCCAGGCACACTCTGCCGCAGACCCCACCCTCCGCACAGCGCTCCCACCACCCTGGCAGAGCAGGTCCCCACCCCGAGCACACCCACCTGGGAGTGCCTACTCAGGCTCCCGTGCTGCCTCCTGTGGAAACCTTCCCTCCCTGACTGCCGGCTCCTGCTCTGGGCCACCTCTGCCTCCTGCCTACTCCCGTCACTGCCTGAACCCCTTTCCTGCACTGCCCCCTCACGGCCTCCCTGCACAGTCCGCTGCAGGGGTGTGGGTCTGTTCTCTGGGTGCCCCTGGAGACCCTTGTTGGCCTTGCCCAGAAGGGCAGGCATCAGTGTTGGCTGCATGACTGAACAAGGGAGAAAGGGCTTGCCAGGTCCCCCGTCTCATCTCCAGGTCACTGCCCTGGCTCAGAGCCGTGGCGTAGACGCCTGGTCTGTGGGAACACTGGCTGCCCCAGGAGAGGTCATTCTTCAGGCCACTTCCAGCTTGAGCCCAGTGCAGCACAGGGGAGAGAGGAGACAGGCCGGGCTGGCTCTGGGCTCAGGGTGGCCTGGGCCACAGGGCCACACATAGGGGCTCAGACCAACTCCAAGGTGACAATCCCCTTGCTAAGGGTGGCAGAGACAGCTACACGGGCCAGCGGGAGGTGCTGGCAAGCTTTCGGCTAGTCAGAGGGCCCCATTCTGAAGTGGGGTGACCCCTGGGGCATGCACGCAGACGCTGAGCTTCCTACTGAACGTGAGATCTGAACCAGGTGACCTTCAAATGCACCGTACCTCCAGCGTCCCCGAGGTGGCAGTCAGTCCCTCAGCCACAGGGCTGTGCCTCTCCACACTGCTCCCAGGTGAGCAGAGGCCACAGGCAACGAAAACACTCTTCCCAGAACCGCTGTGGTCACGGCCTCCTCAAGGAGCCAGGGAGATGACCCACACTGAGCCTCCCAGACACTGAACATGCTGTGATTCACGCGGCTAGTGTGTGCCTGCCCCCAAAAGGACCTGTCACTACTTACTAGGACATGGAATAGACAAGCAAGACCACTGGGAAGAATTATGTTCACATCTGGCGGGGAGGAGACTGAACACTGGTGTAACACCGGCTTCTATACGCAGAGACCCTGAGGTCCACCTATCGCTGTCACAGCCCCCAGCAACCCCAACCCTCCCCGGTCAGGCTGGTGCTCCACATGATGCCGGCCTCCCAGGGCTGGAACGCAGGTGCCGCCCTGGCCGCACCTTGTCTCACGAAGGTCTGGCTGGTGTCCAGCAGGATCTCGCAGCCCTCGATGATCATGCGCTCGATGGCCAGGTTTTTCCGGATGTTCTCAGTCTCGCTCACTTCGTCGTGCATTATCCTGTGGGGACGAGAAATAACCCGGTCAGGGACAGGCAGACACCACCGCCAGAGAGGCGGGAATGCAGGGGTCCTGCCGGATCTGGGGGAAGCCTGCATCGCGATGCTCACTGGGGCCCATGACAAAGCCGTCGAGGGCTGGCATGTCCTGACTACCAGCTAGCTGCGTGTGGGGCGCTGCGAGGCACGGCCGCGTTTCGCCTTTCTGACAGCCCAAGGAGGCAGGTGACCTCATTGCAGACAAGAGGACACGGAGATGAACAGCTAGGAAGCCGGCCTCTGATTTAAGGACTGAAGCATGTGGGTAACAGATGGAAGCATCGGGCGCAGGATGGGAGGCAACAGGCAGCTGCTGTCCACGAACCTGTCCCTCACCCGACAGCCAGTCAGTTCTACACACAGGCACAGAGGCTCTTCCCTGCCCCAGGGCCTTTGTACTGGCTTCTTCCTCCCCTGGAACGCCCTTTCTGGGGATGCTATCTCACCACTGGGCCTGGATAGGCTTATTTTGGGAGGACCGGCAGTGCGGCTGGCTCCGGGAGAACTGGCGTCAGTTCCCTCTGTCCGTCCTGGACATCTGGGAGGGAAGCTGACACATGAACTAGCCCGCTATATGAAAAGAACGACTGCGGTCCTACTGTCCCAGTACTGCCGCCTGCAACACCAGGTGTGTCCACAAGGTGGCAGCATTTACCTGCTTTTTAGCAACATCGTGGGCGGGAAATACCAACACGAGCTGGAGACTTTGCTAAGGGCCTTGAACGATTCCCAGGACAGTGAGGAAAGCAGAGGGACAATTTTAGGTGGGACGTGTGGAAAAATACCCCGCCTCCTCCTGCTCAGAACCTTGGTACTGGCTGTTTCTTCCTCCCGGATACAGTTACAGCGCTACCGTAACAGTGGCCCCGGAATGGCTTATTTTCAGAGGACGTAGCAGTGCATCTGGCTCGGGGAGGACTGGCGTCAGTTCCCTCGGTCTGTCCTGGGACATGTGGGAGGGAAACTGACATACGAGCCCGCTATATGAAAATATAGACTGAGGTCCTACTATCCCTTTTCTGCTGCCTGCAGCACCAGGCGCGTCCACGAGGTGGCAGCATTTACCTGCTTTTTAGCAATACCGTGGGCGGGAAATACCAGCACGAGCTGGGGATTTTGCTAAGAGCCTTGAAGGATTCCCAGGAGACTGGGGAAAGCGGAGGGACAAGTGTGGTTGGGGCGTGTGGAAGAATACCCCACGTCCTCCTCCTCAGGGTTTACGTACTAGCTGTTTCTTCCTCCCAGGTGCTTTTACATAGCTATGGAACAGTGGTTCCGGGATGCCTTATTTTCAGAGGACCTAGCAGTGCATCTGGCTCGGGGAGGACTGGCGTCAGTTCCCTCTGTCCGTCCTGGGACATTCTGGCAGGGAAACTGACACACTAGCCCTCTATATGAAAATA